ATAAAATCAGGCGAAATGCACACATTTTTCTCACTTAAAATCACTTAAAAGTCCACTACAAGTACTAAATTTCGTATCTGTAATAATTCGCGTCCATTTTTAATTTAGAAGACCTTCGGAAACGTCTTTATTTTTCTTTTTCAATTCAAAGGAAGAAAGCTTTGTAAACAGAGGTCGAAAGCAACCGTGCGATCGACAGGATCAACCACGAGCGAACTCGTCTCGTCGGAGCTTTTGAACAACCGCTCTCAGCAACGGCACACAGGCACAAAACACGTTTCATGGATACACGTACACTAAGGCGCATTGATACCAGTCAGCGGCTATCTTCACACCACATTTGACAGTTCATTCACACCATTTGCGTTTTGAATCTAAATACATATAATATTTAGATCACAATATTAATTCAGAAAGTTATTAATATATGAAAATAATATGTAATCCAATGTTTTGGTAAAATAGAAAACAACTGTTATTTCTTACGCTTGTACAAATTCTTTATTTCTCACATAGATGGCGTTATTTAAGCTATGTTTATTAATACTTGACATCATGAATTTTTCTTCTTCTTCATCTGCGTGTGTTCTCTCTCCGTTGGACATAATTACTTACGCCTTCGTTTGCTATGTATATATCTATGGGCTATTCGTTTCCATTACCCAGACTGCGCCTACTGTCACATTAATTAATGTCATCGGACCATCAGGCTGGTGGTCTGCCCACTCTTCTGCCTAGCCGGGGTCTCCATTTCAATACGCGCTTATTGAAATAATAAAAAAAAACAATGAAACATCGGATATGAATACAATTTTATAATATACCAAAAATACATAACAATGAATTCAGTCTCCAATACGCGCTTATTGAAATAATAAAAAAAAAAAACAACGAAACATCGGATATGAATACAATTTTATAATAATGCCAAAAATACATAACAATAAATACATGTTTTAACTTTTATAAAATGCATACTAACTCTTTACTTATTTTCATAAATTTTTGAGTTAATAATTGAATTATTTAAAGACCAATATATGCCAAAAATACATAATAACAAAAAAGTTTGTAATATTGCAAAATGCATACTCGCTGTTTAACATTTATTATGAAATTTTGTGGTGTTCTTTTTTTGTTTTCAGTCACTTTAGCATACTTTTACAAAAATAATCATGGTATAACAAATTAAATTTTGCAGGGACAACGAAAAACCAGGCAATGTCCAAAGTTACACATTCTTTTTATTACTGAAATGATATTTAGCAAATGTTTGTGCCACAATTAATGGGAATACTAATGTAGCATCAGCATACAATTTAACTGGAGTAGCATTTGCCCTTATTTTGCCCCAGGATATTGCCTCATCAGGTCTAGCACCAGCATCACTCCCGTCAAACTCACTTGCTGTGTTTACATAAACCGAAAAATCTGCACCATTTCTCATCAAGTTTGCATTGCAAATATGGTGTTTTATAACTCCACCGCCCAAAATAATCATTCCAGTATTGTTAGCCTTTACAGCCATTGTATTTAATCTACGTAAATCACCCAGAATATCAATGATAAGTCCAGAATGTTTATAAGAGTGGAAATACATCATGTCCCCTAAAGAGCCATCTGTTAAAGCGGGACTAAATATAGGTATGTTATTCCTCCATGCCCAATAGCATACTGAACTTTCATCATTAATTTTCTCTCCCAATCGAGCTATAATACTTGATGGAGACCATACAACATTATTCCTCATTTGCTGCTCTAACATTTCATCTAGCAATGGAGTTACCCATTCTTCAAATAAACAATAATTGTCATTAGGAACTAACAAGTTCCCAATTCTGTTTATTCCACGAGACCGTAATATCTTTCCACTTAAGTTGAAATCGCCTATATACGTAGGGGCGAGGCATTTTATCAAATCCTCCTCAACGCCACCAGCAGTGGTCACGACACAATCGACAAGTTTATTTTTAACTAGAAACCGTATTGTGTCGCGTAGTCCAGACGAAATCATATTCGAAGTAAAACCTAAGAAAATGGTGCAATTTGTTTTCTTCTTGATGAATAGATCTTCTTCGTAAGGATCGCTTGTTTCTTCCGTCAAGGGAACAGAACGACATTTCAGCATATTGTTAATTTCGATAACAGCTTTACCGAAGCTGGTAGCTTGAAAGCCAGAGCGCGTGTAGCTCTCGAGAATTTTGTTATAATCCGTACCATTCTCCCAATCGTAACCAGCGACTGTAGGAGTTTCAGCTGGTAACTCTTGACTTGGACTTAATACCGCATTAACCGCAATATCTGGTGCGTGCTTCGACTTAATCTTCTCAATTCTTGTTACATTCATTTTAGTTTATTTTATCTTGAAACTAACCTACTGTGAAACAATAGTTTTATAACTTATTTTATACACAGTTTTATTGCATTGAAAAGTTCTTAAATATTTTGGTTTGTTCCGTCATTGTCAAAAGAAATTCAATGAAGTCAAATCTAATGAATTTTCCATCAAACAACCAAATGTCAAAATGAAATATATAGTATAAAAAACTAATAAAGCTATATCACAGTTACCTAAAATGTTTTTGTTTTGGTGTGAGCTTAGTTCGTTAAAAATCATTTATGATATTAATGCATTATGATTTAACACGTACTAATGTCGAACGATTGATTTCAAAAATGAAGTAATATTTTATTTACGAAAACAATGAATTACTGAGAAATAATCATTTATGGCACACGATCTTGTGTATCTACACAAAAATAATAAATGTGCGGAAACAAATAATTTACTACGAGTCTGAGTTAAAAAAATATAATATTATTTTTATTGATTATAACTATTAATTTCGATTGATCGCTTTCCTAAACTTCACAAATGTGAGTGCTCGGTTGATCAGTTCGCGTATTTTAATTCGGCATACTCCGGCGACCTGAACATTAACTCCTAAGTCGACACTAAATAAAATATATCTTATAATTAAGGAGCTTCGGAACAAAGAACAAAAAAACAAACCAATAAATCACATTTTAATAGTTTTTTTAAGTATGGCAATCGGCAGTTTACGTATCTATAGCCATCTTGTATCAAATCTATTCGCTAATATAGACTACTCGTTTTCTAGGCGTGTCATCAAAAAATGAGTGTGATCAAGTTATTGGCTTCAATCGCTTTTGAATTAAATAACTTGGGCACATTACTTAACGATGAAAGCTTATATATTCCTGTATTAATCCGTCTGTGGGCATGCATTTGTCAACCAAACCTTTGCTTTTGTGCTATCAATGTAGATAATATTGTCACGGGCATTTTTTTCAAAAAAGTGGCCGATTGTTGTACTGCTTTTCCCTTTAATGACGTCATCTGGAAATCTCTTGTTTCCATCAATCTTCCTGTTTCTTTGACCCCTTAAGAGAAGCAAAATTCTCACTGAGGATGTAGACACTGTGGCTGCCTCTCATTTAAGGTGTAATTTCGTCAGGGCCGGGCGGCGTCAGATGCACCTGAAATAAGTATGTGGCGTTAGTACGAGTCTCTTTGTTCAGATTATGTATTTTTTTTATTCCTAACTGGCCAGCACTTGACTGCCATCCCACCTGATTGTAAATGGCGATGCAGCCGTTGATGGTAAGCGCAGTAGCTCAGTAAAAAGCTATTCACTCTTGCCTTACAGACGCCTACGTTGTAATCGGACGGAAAGACGGACGCCGGCAGGTTATTCCATTCCTTAGCTGTACGGATGATAAATAAGGAAGCGAGTCGATTTGTACTGGTATTAGGTCGGAGCCACGCCGAGCGCCTGCCGAAAGGGGCGAGAGGAATAAGATCGCGTAACTCCAACGCACACTCTTCAAAATGTATCCTGTAGAAAACCGTGAGGCTGGCTACTCTGCGCCTTTGCTCAAGGATAGTGAGATTGGTTTTAACCAAGTTATGGTCACCAATGAGTCTTTCCGCACGCCTCTCCATTAAGTCCGATGCAGCCAGATGGCATTTTGCAGCCCCAGCCCAGATATGACAGATAGTACTGTTACTCCACACACGATCGGACTTGAGCCTTGTATACAGTAAGAAGCTGTCCCGGCGTGAAGTACCGTCGCACCTTTGCAAGGAAGCCTAACTTCCTTCCAGCTGCCCTGGCTTTCGACTCAATGAATCGCCCAAAGTTGGGGTTTGAGGATATTTCTACTCCCAACAACTGATAAAAGATAAAACAACTAAGAAATTGCTAAAATATGTACATTTTGCTGTTGAAACTTTAGGTCCGTGCGGACCCCGCACTTCGATTTTTTTTAAAGTTTACGTCCTACACCAGAGTATCTACATCGCGGTTGGTGATAAGGGAGTTGGTTCTATTCTCGCAAAGGTTAACCATAAAACCACATTGACACCATGCCGCTTGGATTAAGTTCTTTAGATAACTAGCAGCTGCCCGCGACTACATCTGCGTAGAATCGGCTTAAGGCGTAACATTCAGACAGAAAGACAGATACAAATACAAATATGTCTTTATATACCATAATCATCGGTTTGCCTTATGTTGCCTGGGAAAAATAGTTAGATCTTAAGTCAACAACAACTGCCTTTAGGGTCTGTCACTGAGAATTATTTATAGTCATTGTTGCGGACCTCTTTGCTATTTTGATAGCTGATGTAGTTTTTTACTTTTTTGCTTTTGACGTGGTCTGTTCTATTACCTATTTCTTTCTGTTTGCTTGATTTTTCTGTTTTTATTAAAAAATAATCATCTTGTATCATCGTTTTATCATTTGCAGAGATTAAATGTAGTTTTTGTTATTCATTCATTTCGTAGTATTTGTTTTCATTTTCACTGCTTTATTTTATTTTTATTTCTCACTTAATGATCACTCGCAGTAAAAGTAAAATCATGCCGACAAACCCTGCGACTAGTACTAGTGTGCAAGATAATATTATGCAACCTAGTACTTCCCAACATGTAGACAGCGTTGCCCCGAGTGAGACGTCTAAGTCAAAATCATCACGCTCGTCGTCCACAATTAAGGCTCAAAAGGCCGCCGTAGAGGCCCTCGCCCTGCGCCGACGTCTTGAGCACGAGCAGGAGCTCGCTGAACGCGAGACGCAACGTGAAAGTCGACTGGCAGCACTCCGTCAGCAGGTAGAGGATGGCGAACTGCAGGCCGAACTTGCCGCTCTCGACGCGGAAGCCGCGGCAAGTCGCAGCAGTCGCAGCAGTCGCAGTGGTTCTGCCAGGGTAAGCGTAGAAAGAACAGAAAGATGGGTACAAAGTTTAGGACAGCCAGTTTACGTTGGCGAAAATACAGTTAATAGAGGCATCCCCGCAGTAGGGCGCGAACAAATAATAGTTCCGCCTCCCGGCCACCAGGCACCTCTGCCGGCCACTGGGTCAACTGCATCCCCTATTAACCGTTTTGTTCATCAGAAGCAATTTTTAAACGTCACTAAAGCGTCCGAGGCGGCCGTGCCTACGCGACCGCTCATTCCCACGGAGCTTGATCAGAGTAGTCTGTTTCAGGCTGTTGCTGACACTGCAGCTGCGGCCAAGGCGCTTGCTACTTCGCACCGTCATAAACATAAGATCGAATTGTTTCCTTTCGACGGAGACGCCTTAACATGGCTACATTTTAAACGTATTTTTGATTTAACCAAAAGCAATTTTTCAGATATTGAAAATATTAGTCGGTTACAAAATGCACTTCGCGGCGCGGCCCGAGATGCAGTCGCGTCACTGTTGCTGGCTACAGAGGACCCGAACGATATTATAAGAGCTCTGGAGGAGAACTTCGCTCGCCCGGAAATTATAGTATTTAAGGAAGTCTCCGCTCTAAAAAATCTACCACGGTTGGGAAATGACTTGAAAGAGTTAATTACGATAACGAATAAAGTACGTAATTCTATATCTTCTTTTAAAATACTGAAACAAGTTGAGTACTTGCACTCTCCAGAACTATTTCACGCCGTCTTAGGAAAATTAAACCCGGTTACTAAAGTAAGATGGACGGACTTTGCTATGCAAGATACTACAGGGCGTCCTAAATTAGAGATTGTCCGATTTTTTGAGGCGCGAGTTAGATCAACTTATTCGGTTCGGTTTATCACCGGAATCTTGCTCGATCCAACATCACACCACAAAACTCTCAACTAAACAAACCGTATAAACGGGAAAATTTTCACGTAGTTACACACTCCAAACCAAATTCTAAGGTGGTGTCTAAACAAAAGCCTGAATGTGCGTTTTGCAAAAAAGATCACAATATTAAGTCATGTTCTGAGTTCAAAGCCTTATCTGTTGATGAAAGGTGGGTCTGGCTGCGTGAGGTAAAAGCGTGTTATAGATGTCTTAAGCGTAGTTCACATCAGTGGAAAACATGCAAAGTTAACCCTTGTGGTGTCGATGGGTGTCCAATACGTCATCACCCGTTACTGCATGGTAAACAACCCGCCTCGTCTGTCAAACCTACGTTCGACACGCAATCCACTGAAAATAATCATGCGACTACGCATCACGAACCTGCATCTGTCGAAAAGGTAATAGTTTCTACCACTTCTACAGGTGTTCAAGAACCCAGCTCCATCTTAACTCTGTGCCCACGTGTATTTCTAAAAATCTTACCCGTTACTGTCTCGGGTCCCTCAGGAAGTTGCAATGTTTACGCACTTCTCGATGACGGTAGCACTGCTACGCTCATTGACTCAAGTATTGCTGCTCAAATCGGTGCGACAGGGCCTCACCAGAAAATAACGGTCAACGGTATAGGCGGTCTTAGTAGAAACACTACAATATCGTATGTAGATTTTTACATTAAGGGAAGGCAAACACGAGACACATTTTTAGTGAAAAATGCGAGAGCTATGGAGTCTTTGTCTCTGCGTCCTCAAACTATTAGGAAGGAATCGATTGCTTCTTACGCACATTTAGCGGATTTACCTTGCAACGTAACTTACGAAGATGCTACTCCAACAGTTTTAATTGGGGCAGAGCATTGGCATTTGTCATCAGCAGCGAGGTAAGGTGTGGTGGTAATAATGAACCCGTTGCTTGTTTAACTGCCTTAGGCTGGGTGCTTTATGGAATCGCGACCAGTAAAAGTAAATTAGTGGAGTTTGTTAATCACAGTGTGTGTATCGAACCTTCTGATGAGGAGAAATTGGACTCTCTTATTAGGGAACAATACAACATTGACTCGTTAGGTATTTCTAAAAAAGACACTCTGCATTCGAAGTCAGATAAACGTGCAATCGAGATTTTAGAAAAAACTACTAGACGTCTTCCCACTTCTGGTCGGTTTGAGGTTGGTATGCCGTGGCGTGACGATATACAGCGCATTCCCGATAGCTATCCTCAAGCCATGTCACGATTTTTAAGTCTAGAGAGGCGCATGGCTAAAGACGCTGACTTTGCCAAAGCATATGACGTGTTCATTTCAAACATGATCGCTAAAGGTTATGCAGAAGAATGTGCTCCTGAGTCATACTACGCCAACCACATTAAAGATAAACAATCTTCTTTTATGAGGCTCTATTTACCCCATTTTGGCGTGTACCACCCTCAGAAATGTAAGCTTCGTGTAGTTCACGACGCCGCAGCCACGAATGAGGGCGTCAGCCTAAACTCTTTGTTGCTACCTGGTCCAGACCTACTTCAGCCCTTGTTAGGTATTTTATTTCGGTTTCGTGAGGGCCGTATCGCTCTCACTGCTGATATCCGGGAAATGTTCCCGCAAATAAGGATCAGGGAGCAAGATCGGGACGCCCTCCGGTATATCTGGAGGTCAAGCAGAAACCAACCTATAAAAGAGTTTAGGATGACATCCGTCATTTTCGGTGCGTGCTGCAGCCCATTTATAGCGCAATTTATTAAAAATAAAAACGCTCGTGAGCACGAAAGTTTATTTCCTAAAGCAGCTCAGGCTATTTTGTACAATCATTATATGGACGATTATGTTGACTCTCTCGATGACATTCAAGAGGCAGCAGAACTAGCGGCAGATATTGTTGCCGTTCACAATGATGCCTGCTTCGAGATGCGAGGCTGGATTTCCAACGACCCATCAGCGCTAAGATTTATTCCTGCTGATCTTAGGGCCACTCAACCGTCGTCGGAAATCAATCTTGGCAGCTACTCTGCCAACAATATTAGAGCGTTAGGAGTATGGTGGAATCCCACAACAGATAATTTAGGGTTCCGTTCGGGCTTAGGTGAAACATTTCCAAACCCTCTCACAAAACGCAAAGTTCTTTGTCACCTCATGCGTATGTACGACCCGTTAGGCTTATTAGCTCCAATAGTTGTTAAGGGTCGAATTTTAATTTCAACAAACGTGGAGGTCTAATGTCGACTGGGACACCGAGTTCCAACCCACGGAAGCATTAAGGTGGTCTGATTGGTTTCAGGAGTTGTCAAAAGTAACTTCTTTGGAAATTCCGCGTTGGTATTCTAACTCTAAAAACTCTGAACCAACTCAGAGGGAGTTACACGTTTTTTGCTGATGCAAGTGAGCTCGCGTACGCATGTGTCGCTTATTGGCGCCTTTTGTACTCAGACGGCAGCATCGAGCTTTCTCTCATCTCTAGTAAGGCAAGAGTTACACCCTTGAAACCTACCTCTATCCCACGTTTAGAACTCCAGGCCGCTTTAATAGCTTCTCGTCTCGCGGTCACCATTAAGGACAGTCATAGAAAACAACCGGCACATACTTTCTTTTGGACCGATTCTATGACAGTCCTTCAGTGGATACGTAGTGACGCGCGCTCTTTTAAGCCTTTTGTTGCCCATCGTTTAGGCGAAATTATTGAAAACTCTTGCGTCAGAGACTGGCGATGGGTACCAACAGACTTTAATGTTGCCGATGACGCTACCAGAATGCGATCAATTAACCTTGACGCGTCCCACAGATGGTTTCTAGGTCCATCTTTTCTTTTTAAATTCATTGAGGACTGGCCTATAGAGCCAAGGTATACCTCACCAAACATCGATGAACTTAAGACCAATAGTTATGAGTTGGTCGGACTAACTTCCTTTGTCGAAGAGTTACCGACTCCGGTCACAGGCATTTTTGCTAATTTTAGTAATTGGCAGCGCTTATTACGTGCCACAGCCCGGGTACTTCAAGCTGCGGCAAAGTTTGGTGTAATTTTGGCTTCCATTAGAAATTCTAAATTGAAAGGCAAAGTTGTTTGTGCCCGCCATCCTTCAGCGTCCACTACTCTACCACCCCTTAGTGCGGATTTAATAAAGGCCGCTGAAAGGCAAATTCTGCAACGAACACAGATCGAGAGCTTTTCCATAGAATTTCTTCATATCCTGAACTCGAAGCCTATTCCTCCGAACAGTCGTCTCAGAAAACTGTCACCCGCTTTGGGAGAGGACAAATTACTGCGGTTAGCCGGAAGAATTAAAGCCGCAGAAGGCATTGACCCAGACACACGCTTCCCCATCCTCCTTGACGGTCGTCACCCAGTTGTACGTTTATTGGTACAATTTTATCATCGAAAAGCGGGTCACGCAAATTATGAACAAGTCGTGAACGAATTAAGACAAAAATTCAGGTTATTAAGGCTGAGGAACACAGTGCGAACAGTAGCAAAACAGTGTCTACTCTGCAGAATTAGAAAGTCCTTGCCGGTGAACCCGAAAATAGGAGATCTGCCACCTGAAAGATTAGCTCACCATCGACGGCCCTTTACTTTTACGGGCCTGGACTACTTCGGCCCCGTAATCGTCACTATCGGGCGCAGGCGTGAAAAACGTTATGTGGCCCTTTTCACCTGTTTAACTGTCAGAGCCCTTCACCTAGAGATGGTACATAATCTATCGACTGACTCTGCTATCATGGCTATTAGAAGATTTATTGCAAGACGGGGCTCTCCAAACACTATTTTCTTGGACAACGGAACCTGCTTTGTTGGTGCCAATCGTATTCTCAGAGAGTTCTACGGAGAAAATGTCGAAGATTTTACAAGCACTCAAGGAATACTCTGGAAATTCACCCCACCTGCGGCACCTAATTTTGGAGGAAGTTGGGAGCGCTTGGTGCGATCAGTAAAGGTGGCTCTCAACGCGACATTAACCGAACGAGCTCCAAAAGAAGAAACCCTGAGCGTTTTACTAGCCGAGGCAGAAGCCATTGTCAATTCACGTCCATTAACTCATGTATCTACAGATCCTGACGACCCGACAACACTCACACCATTTCATTTCTTAATCGGTTCATCTTCCGCGCAGACCCTACCTACTACCTTCAACGATCACGATTTGATCAGCCGTTCCGAATGGAGGAAAGCATTGAGGCTAGCGGATCATTTTTGGTCGCGTTGGATGCGCGAGGTTCTCCCAACCCTACAACCACGTGAGCAGTCAAGAGGCAACCGCAGTTCAACAGCTCTTCAAGAGGGTGATGTAGTAATTATTGCTGACTTCAACTTGCCCCGCGGAACATGGCCACGAGGACGTGTTGCGAAGTTGTACCCTGGAAAAGATG